TTACTATAGCAGAAATTTTGGTTAAACCAATTTCAATTATTGCTTTTTCTAAATTTTCAGCAATAGCCTCTCCAGTTTGACGTGTTTTACCAGTTAGATGTGCCATAAAAAAAATTGGTTTAGGAATCATTATAATATAATTGGTCCAATGTTCTTGCACCAAGTTAGACCATCCATCAAAAATAAGACACATGTTTGTACATTGATTAATCAAAGTTTCAGCTTTATTTTTTGTCTCATTAAATACAAAGTCCAATAATTTTGTCGAAAATTTTTTTCGACTGGGTAGCTTGAATGCTGGTCTTGCTTGTTTCCACAAAAGTTTGATAGGCTTCATTTCCGGCAATGACAAAAATAGGCCACAATAAAATACTGATCTTGCAAAAGCCAATTCAAGTGACTTTTGTTCTGTTTTTGTAATACGATTAACTTTATAAAGCTTTAATGCTGAAGGTGGGAATGAATTTGATACTGACTCTGATATAGAAGATGATATGCTTATTAATGTTTCATCATCGCTTTCTTCATACAAGTTGCCAAGATATTTTTTTTTTTGCTCTGCAGATATCTTAGTGCATCGTCTAACATGTATCCAGGCAGCTCTTAATGATTCATTGATTTGCTGTTCATACTTATTACATTTGCTTCTTTTTTGTTTAAGTCCTGGTACATATCCCAATTTACTAAATAAAATCCATATAGGATCTGGTATTGTCATTGCGAATATTAATTAAACAACTATTCTGGTCTTGCATAAAGAAAATAAAAGAAAATTTATGAATTTTTTTTTTTAATTTATAATAATTTAATATATTTATTTAACTTATTTATAATGACTCATTATGCTTGCGTCAAGTTAAAGTTTAAAAACTTTATTTTATTATACTTTCGTTATTCTTAATTGTTAATCCTTTTAATTAACTAATACTGTAAATGTTTTTTTTTATTATAATATCCCTGCAAGTATTAAAAACTTATAGGCACCCCTCGCTTACAATAATATTTAAAGTGACTTTACTTGGTTTTAAAGCTAATGAAACTCCGAATTCTCTGAATTTAAAACACTATACACACACCATGCGCATGCATGATTGCATGCATGTATGAGCATCATGCGCATAGTGCC